TTTAAAGTAACTTTCACTTAAAATGTTCAGATATGTTTGGTAAAAGAAACAAAACATGGAAAGGACTTCAGCCTATTCCTGTAGTTTTATCCCTACAATCTGAATCCTGTGCAACAAAGCCAGAGTCAGCATCAGTAGGTACGATTGTGCTTTTGCATTAAGGTCAATGACAGTGGCAGGATTCTCCTGAGATGTTAAATCTTTCACCAGAAAAAATCCACATGTATTTCATCAATATATCACAGGCATATTGATTCTGGGACCTCATACTTGTTATTGTTCAAGAAAAAGCTTTGTATAGCCTGATAATTGAGTGAAAGTTCAAAGTGATATGAAGCCAGCCCTAAAGGGTTTGTGTGTCTCTGAAATCTTCTTCATCTGACAGGTATTTTAAAAACGGAATAAAAAAGTTAAAAGAAAAGTCAGTGTACAATAATGGGAATGGTTGCTTAGGGAAAAAAAATGAAATTAGAAAAGAGCATCAGGAAAACAAACATATAGAACTTCTTTTTCTCCTTGCTGGTCTCTAAGGAGTCAAACACATGCTTGGAAGCTTCGCTGTAGTTCTTCCCTTCTGTTCCCGCTCCCCTCTTAAGCAACAAATACTGATCTTAATTGTATTTTCTTGAACTTGATTGTTCTAATACTACTGTTTACAGAACAATGTTGTATAAATGAGAATCGGAGAAGACCTTTTGAATCAGCTTCTAATTAAAAAGAATAGCCTCTTTCTAATTTGCATAATTTAGATTCCACACTTTATGGAATCTACCATATTTGACCTATTCTTTTCAAAATGTCTTACAAGTTCAGTGCTGCCAAGAGCACACTATATACTGCTCTGAGATACAAGGGTACACTGAGATCCAGTAAATTGCTCTCTATCAATCCTTTGTTCTCTTCGTATTACACTTCGTATGGTTATTGGAAATACCATGGAGTTTTGCTTTCCATCATGAGATGTAGGTGAGCCAGCAATTCAGTCTTCGTTCCCTGTTTGTGTAAGTGGACAATTTATAGATGCACTTGATGATATGAAAAAAGTGTTTGTTGTAGAGAATGTGACCTCCTACAAATTCAATCAGCTACTTTCTTACAGTGAGAAATAAACATCGTTTATCTCTGAAAGCTTACTTCATAAAACATTTACTAAGCCTAAATGAAAGAGAAATAGGCCTTAACAAAAACAACCCATTTTCTGAAAAGAGAAGGAAGAGAGGATTTGATTAACTGCATGTTGCAGTTGCTGGTGGGTTGGCATTTATGATCCAGCAAATAAAACAGCTCTCTTCAATAAACACAGGGAGTGGTGTTGTGCTGAAAACATCTAACAAATGCCTTTGCATATAAACAAATTTGCTATTCCATTCTCTCCTCAAAGTACATTATTTTATCTCTAACACTTGAGAGAATGCATTTCTTCCACATGACTTAGAGTTTTCTGATGATTCTTATTGGCCTGGAGTACTGTGCATAGGAATTTTGTATGGATCTGGGAAAGAATTAAGATTTGTTCTTGAATTCTAGTAAGTGCTGTATTTTAATAATTGACAGACAGGTGTTGGAACTCTTTGAAATTCGATACCAAATTGTATTGTTGTTTTTCTTTTTGACAAGAAGCAAAATGTTCCGTAAAAATTCTGTTATTTTCAATTGTCACTATCCTTTCAATAAAGTAAAAATTGCTGCCTCAAAAACAGTAGGTCTTAGGGATCTATTTCAGTAACACTTAACATCTCACAGTTTTCTAATAAAATTCCATTAAGGTTTACAATGAAATTTTTACTTCTATGAGCAATCAGTTGGGGGGGGGGTAGAAATGGGTACAGTAGATGTGTTTTCATGTAGTTTTTGATGGATTCTCATCTCGGTGCTATTAGAGGAATTATTTGACTTCAGATTTACTCAGATAAAAGCGGTTCTGAATGAATGACTGCTGAGAGATTAAAGCTGCCTCCAAAGACCCGTGTTCCTGGAACTTTGCAGCTCTCTGTGAGACGCTGTGTTACTGCTTTCAGTATTCTGTCTAGCTATACACTTATTAATCAAAAGTGCTCGCTACAAATTTTGTGTAAAACTGACATTTTCTTTCAAAACTCTCTGATTTCTAATTTCTGTGCTGTATTTCCATTAATCATCACAATACCAGGTACTTATGGGAAAGGTGAAATTTCTGTAACCTCTTCAATTTCTCCTTAGGTAAAAGAAGAGGAGCAATCAGCCAATCACACTTTGATGATTCAAGAGACACTGCAGCAGGCTTCAGTGGAGCTGTCTGAACAGCATCACCTGGTAGTCTCATCAGATGAAGTGGAGGGAATTGAGACAGTGACTGTCTATACGCAGGGTGGAGAGGCTTCAGAATTCATAGTTTATGTTCAGGAAGCTATGCAGCCTGTAGAAGAACAAACTGTGGAACAATCGGTGCAGGAGCTCTAGAGAACAGTGTTCAAAGGAGATGGCTACTTTATTTGCCAAAGCCAAAAGTTTGGGGTTTTTTTCCTAGCCAAAAGCAAGTAAGCTGAGAAATTTTCAGTTAATTTGTGAAGCGAGACCTTGTTACTAGATAGTGATCTGACTGGTTGGATTGTATCAGTAACTTAGACATATTATGTACAAAACTTCCTGAGACTTTTTTTTTCTAAAAAATGTTCATATTTTGAGGAAAAAGTATTCTTCCCCTTCTTAGAAGATCTCTCACTTGATTCCTGTAAATCCCCACAAATATTGTCTGTTCAAAACCGTGTTATCCCACAATAATAAAACATCTATAAAGGTAGCTAGAATGTCTAGAAAAGTCCATACATCCCATTTTATACATACTTAATATGTGCTTGACTTGACTGGAAACAGAGTTGTTTTTTCTTTGAATTAGAAGGGCTTCTTATTTCTGAGTACATGCTTAGAATGCGTTTGCCGAGTTGTGGATCTAAACCAAACAATGGCTCAAGACTTTAATTAGAAACATACCACAGATGGACTGTAGTTTGTACTTGTGAGATGATTCTTTGAGTTTGGGAGGTATTTAAAGCCATATGATAATTCTGGGTACCAGTAGGATGACTGTTATTTAGATTATTGAATAATGACAACTGTTTCCATCCCACTGGATAAGTCCCTGTCCGGTACCATATGATGAAACCAAATCTGTCAAATCAATGAAATATTCTTTTGTTTTTAAGAAAAAAATTATATTCAAATTATTTGTAAATGCTATAAAAGATGTATGTTCATATGTTTTAAAAAGACATGCTTGTAAATATGATTGTGTGAAAGAACTTGTACAAAAAACTTAAGTAAATATTGACAAGAATCTAGATATTCTTAATTATGCATGTATATAGTTCCAGATTTTTCTTCATGAATCCTGAATTGTTTCTGATTTAATATTTTTAAATTTGAGCTATAAAAGTTATTAATTAATAACAAAATTGTCATGTTTTCTTCTAATGCTCTAATTTCTTAAGTGTTGGCTTCCCTTTCACAGCTAAGTAAAAAATGCTGGTTTGCATTGACTCTGACAAATTATTTCTCCAGTTAGTAGTCTCTAATCACGAAAGTAGCATAATGAAGTCTAGGCGGACCTTTCTATGTGATTGAATTTATTTATGGGCGTTCTGGGTAGAAAAGTGGAGAAAAGCTTTTGACTAAGTTGATGTAATGTAGGGAGTTGGTTGTCTGCCTCTTCTAAGTCTGCTGGGTTCTATTAATGCTATACAAAATCAGAGTGCAAACATTTAGTGGTAGCTTCTCCCTTAACTGTGGTGATAGGGAAATTAAATTTGTTAATGGAAAAGAACTGAAAATCGTTTGACTTCGGTGGTAGCTATGTTTCCTCTGGTTTAATCTTGAAAGTGCACGAGAAGGCCCCGGGATGTTACATTTGTAGGCTGGAGACCTTTTTGCCATTTGGCTGGAGCTGGTCACAGATGTCAGTATTGATTTCTTGTATGTTCAGTAAACTTGACTAGAATGAGCCATGAAATGTTTAATAACATTTGCAATGTGATAGAAACTGATGCACCAAATGTATCAACTTGATTAATCTGCATAAGAAACTTTGTTTTTGTAATTACTGGTTAAAATTCAGTGTTGATTTGCAAGAATAATGCTTTCTATTATCTAAAAGAGAAGAAAGCAGTCTCAAAAAGTTTTTTTAGAATTTATTGAAATATTCACGGCCCACTTGCTGTTAAAACCACATTTGGAAGAGCATCATGATCATATGCGGTAACAACTGTGTTCTTAACGTAAAACCTTTCTGAATCAGTTCAACAATGTATTGTATTATTATCTGACTGGGAGGGGGGGAAATGGAAAAGTATTTTGCTATGCATCACTCAAGAATTCTCAAGTAAATTATTTCCAGATAGACTCAGTACTTATGTCTATGTATTTGGAGGAAGGGTTTTGGGTTTGGTTTTTTGTTTATTTTAATTCAGTATAGCACGGCCATGCATACCTACTGTAATTTAAGGCTTGATTTATAATTGACGAGTTATATCACATTTTCCTACACTAAAGCGTGAACATTTCTGTGAATTTTCTGTATCCTTTTTTTTTTTAATTTTAAAAATACTTTTCAATTCAGGTCTTTTCTTAAGTTCCAGGTTTTTTCCCAGCTCTGCTTGGAAATGCAATGGTTGGAAACATACGAGGTGTAAGTCAGGAAGGACTTTCAGCTGTGTTGAGTACTGCACATTGATTTCTTGCCTCCATTATTAATACATTTTCTTCTTTCTGGAATATGCATCATCTGTAATGCTATGAGGAGGTAGGTACTTCCTCTTTAATGTAAGCCATTGTACTTTACAAAGTGAATGTCCAAAGATTTGCATTTTTTCAGAAGCATAAAGAAAACAAAGAGAGCTTTGTTTATACCAGGCGTTTGTTTTCAGAGGCCACGGCTGTTCCAGTTGTCTTTTGTCTGGATTTGGAATGACCAAAAAGGTAAGAATTAAATCTTTTGCTTGGCAAGCTCTGCTTCTGTTATCACCTAAACAGCACAGATTGTTTTTAGTGTAGATTCAACTCCTTTTATCCAATTAATCTTTTCTGAGGGTTAAGTGACATTTTCAGTTCAGGGGAGACAAGCAATTATAGTTTTAAGTTAGTCAAGTAGCTCCTGTTTCTGAACATTACACATTCTTCACACACACTAGTAATTTTCATTAGCATTTACTACACTATATGATCTTCTGTTTTTTCCTCTTTCTTTGACACCTGAGGAGTATCCTGGCTTTAGTCTAACACTTGGCAAATATTACTCTTTAAAAGCTTGTGCATGCATAAATTCAAGTAACTGATGGGCTAAGATAGCTAAGAACACATCAAATGTTTCTGGGAATGTGTTGAGCACAGAGGGGAGATGTCTTGGAATCGTGCAAAGGTTTTAAAAAACAGAAAAAGGAAGCTGCAAATAATTTTATGGCAGCAGAGTCTTATTTAATGGAAGGTAAGATTATGATGCTTGAAGCTGACTTCTTCGAAAGGTCTTAGAGAAATTAACTAGGAACACTGGTTCTGGAAGGACCTCATGTTACAGAATGGTATAAGCACCTGTACACAAAGGGCAAAATTTGGACCTCACAGGGCAAAAGGCACAGGAGAGGGTATGGGAAATGGAGGTTCCAAAATTGTTTGCATCCCTAATTTATTATATCCACAGAGGGTAATTTCTCTTTCCTGAGTACAGAAGAAGATGGGATCTGCCTGCCTTTCTGATGTAGTTTGGTTTCTGTGGCTGGTTGTGGTTCCTCTCAATCCCAGCACCGTTTCTTAATACTAGTGATTTAAACCAGCTGTTGTAGCATCCTAACTTACAAGAAGCTGCACTAATAGAGGCTTTGTACTGGATCTGTATCACTTATCTGCAAAATCCATGGGATGAAAAGACAAAGGAACTGTATACTTCTACTTCGCTGTTTTACCTCAAATTTTGGGTTGTATGAAATCACAGCTAGAGACAAGAGTACTACAGAGACTATAATGTTAGACTAATTGCTCCTACTATAATAAGTGATGCCCATCTACAAGAAGGGCCAG